TAAGTTGAAAACAGAATATGTCGCAAAGTTCATTTTCTCAAAGAGAGAACCAAATTAATTTATTACCTCAACTACCAGCTAAAACCCACTAACCAAAAAATAATATAAACGGAAACCCCTACCAAGCCAGATAACTAAAAATTTAATCAGCTTCTCGTCCTATATTTTCACAGCAACCAACCAGCAAAACAAATGTTAAAATTAATACTTCTTGTCATCGCCAGTTTATAGACGAACTAAGCCTATATTAGAAGCAGTCGGATCAGATTCATATAACTAAAAATTCGCCGCAGGCTTTAGCTTCTTTTCTTCTGTTCTCCTAAAAACTTCCCCGCTACCCTACATCATAGATTGAATAATTATGAAATCCTATCTTCTTCTTCCACTTTTGTCTTCTCGGTCTCTCGCATGACTATGAAGTACGTAAGTACTAAATAGCTTACTGACTCTCGATAACTAAAAAATTCCAACATTCGCGAGGTTGATTCCGCATATTTCTGAGCAACTAAACAGCCAAAACTAAGATACGGTTTACTCGTACCTTGGCTTCAGGTACGGAAGAAAAGCTGAGCTTAATACAGAGACGTTGATTGATGCTTAAAAGAGGACGCTGAGAAAACAGTTTCATGCTTCTCGCACCTGGTAGCATCTTGAAACGGGGTGGGAAGTTCGTCCGCCTTTGTTGGGAGAATTCCCTAAATATTACAAAATAAAATAATTAATTAAATAAATATATATATTAATAAAATAGATAATAATAATAATAACGATTAAATGATAAATAATGATTTGTTAGAAAATTTTAATGAAAACTAAATATTATAAAATTATTATTATTATTATTATTATTATTTCTATTATTATTATCGTTTTTATCTTATTTATTTTTATTTAAATTTAATTTTGAAATTAATGAGATATGACAAAAAGAGGAGGACCAGCTCCAGCTCCAGCGTGAGTCCGGTCTCCTAGAAACGTCAAAACAACGCCGTTTTATAAAAGAATTAGTATCAACTAAAATTTTTAAAACGATGTCGTTTAGCTGGAACAATGTTTTTTTTTAGGACTTTTAGATTTTAAGGTTTTCAAAAAAATAATTTACACCAATTAAACCTCCCAAAAGAATATCGTTTAGCTAAATCTCTATTAGTTTAAAACGAAAATTTTTCTGAAATAGGTCTTAGAATAATTTAAATTTTTTCTGTTTTAAAATAAAATCATTTTAATAAATAAATTAATACCAATTAAAACTCTCAAAACGATGCCATTTTAAGCACGAATAGAATATGTAATTCTTGTCATGAATGAGGTATGAGAAAAAAAGCATGAGTTACAAGATGATTAATTGTAATATGTAACACATAATGGTGTATCTATACCAAGAGAAGTAAGTGTCTTGTGTTTTTATGGTGATTTGACTTTGCAATATGCAATATTTCTACATGTTAAACTCAATGCATGTACTATTAAAAAGCAAATAGTATCCGTATTACGGTATAATATTAGCATGGTTGTGAATTTAGGTTAAAGTTTAGATTAATATTAGTATTAGTTTTTTCAAAGTTTACAATTAACATTTTTTTTCTGTTATTTTTCATAGTGACTTCAAACAACTTTAAATTTACAATTTTTATAGAATTTTACCCAGCGCGTCATAAGAGTGAAAAAAGCTCAGATGGACATACTTAAATACATCATAAAAATGAACACGCCTGTCAAAAACTACACTAGAATTTGTTTACGAAGTTTAAACGCACCAAAAGTATATTTTTAGGACATATCAAATGTCTAACCTTAACAGAAACTCATTCAGTGAGCAAGTATAGTTTAGTGCTTCGGTTTCTGGTTTTGGCTTTCCACAGTCTAATGACTCACCTGAGCAACACCTGTAAAATGATTACCAGAGCATAGAAATGCAACCAAATCATCGTTGTCATGCTTTAACGAATAAGATTGAGTGAAAATTCACTTTTACTTCCACTTTGGCTAAAATTAACAGAATTCACAATCAACTGACACAAAGCAGAAATTGTAACGTTGTTCATGGTATATACATGAGGTAAGTCTTCCATGCCAGTCAGGAATTCAGCAAGAAGAATTACCGAGGTAGACAAGTATTTTGCAGATTGCTTGCCAGGATATACACAAATGACAGGTGTAGTAGGAGAAAAACAGCAGGAGACTTATGATATGTATGCCTTCACTAGATCAGAGTAGTTACAGACTAAACCAGTCCTTGGGCACGTTATTTTCCCTTCATTTTTCTTTGCCATTTCCTTGAGAGCCTGCAATAACACAAACTAAAGTTTTAAGACAAAGCTTGATATGCTCAAGTTTTAAGTTTCAAAACAAAGCCCGATATACTCTTAAGTGGTTAGGCTATTTCTGGAACAAATTGAAAAATTTTGTGGAATTCATTTGTAAATTTTTAGTTGAACAAATATGAAAGGATGTAAATTTTATTATAAGATGATAAAGATTGACTTCACTTTAGATTTCAGTTGGAAGTAAAATAATGCACTATAAGTTCTATTAAAATTGATGGAACTTGGAATAGCTTGTTTCAATTCCACATAAAATTTCATATGAGGTCCGTTTTAATTGCTTTAAAGAAAGTTAAGATCATCTTCTAGTGAATTTAGTGCAAATGAATTCTACAAAAAAGAAATCTAGATTCTGTTCAAAAGATCGTCTTAATCCAACCTGGTGAGTTCACTTCAACTAAGTCATCCTAGATTTTTCCAAATAATAAAAGGAAAAATGCAAACCTTTGTACTGTAAACATAACCATTCGGCAAGACTTGCGGTGGATTCTCTGTGTCCATTAGCTCTTTAGTTATATAGCAGACAAGCTTTGAGTGGTGCTGCTTCGAGAATGGCAAAGGCATTGCCAGCTTTCTGAAGCTCTCTTGTGACAGCGGATCTTCCTTGGTACAATCATCTTCGTAACAGTATCTAAAACCATGTCAAGTTATAAACTCATACTTTAAACACACTGTTAACTATGCCTACATGCAAAACGAGAGCGAAGTACTCTTGCCACTACAAATCGATTAGCCATATGCACATCAAGTTTGGTTTTCAGTAGAAGGAGAGGACTACCAAATGATTACTTCTCTCAGGCGTAATCATACAGTTTGCAGAAATTTCATTTTGAGCCAAAATTGTTGCTCAGGTCATGTCAAGAGCATAAAGGTTCAGCTCCAAGAAATCAATTAAAAAAAACAAAGCACTCAAACAAAAACCAACACCCGACCAAGTTCTTGAGGTTCAAAATATCTGTTGTTCAAAGTATTGATTACAGACCAACTCAACCACCACCATGGCAGTAGTTATATATACAGATCGCAAACCAACTCTTCACCATTGGAATATATCGATAAACTTTAATCAGATGAGAAAGAGAATGACTATGGCTATTTCACGTCAGTCACAAAGTTAAATGATTTCTGAATCTCTTTCAAGGGTTATAATTTCAATACTTCCTGTAATTCTGACATTCCGCCAGCATGAACAATAATGCATGAAGTCAAAGGATGTGAAATTTCGAGTATATGGATACGGAGTTTTCAAAGCAGATAAGCCTGCCTGCAAGTAAATATTCAGCAATGGCTCCAGTGTCATGCCATATAGCTTGCAGAATTCCTGTTTAAATTGGTCCACCAGGAAGTCCCATTGTTTTGGTTCAAACAAAACCTGGCAATATAAGACAAAAAAGATCAGTTGACTTTTTTGGTCTACCAAAATGTCTGGGCTGATAGATACATGAGCACATTTATTAGCTAGCATGTATAAAACTAGAACATACAGACTATTAGACTCCTTTCCCACCCTCCTAGACACCTTGGTGAAGAATAACTGCATGAAAATATCTGAAAAGAATAAAGCTTGCTCCAATAGAAATATCTTTTAAAGTTGCTGTGCAAAAGCGTAGGCAGACAAAACTCAAATACGGCAAATATAACTATATTACCCAGTAAGCAGGGACATAAGGTGGAACTTGGTAAAATTGTCTGCCCATATGGAGAGTTGATAGAAAACATTTTTGATAATTTGAGGGAACAAGTTACCTAATCCAAACAGCAAAAATACAGCAAGTCTTCATGGTTAATTAAAGATGCCACCACCAGCCAACATGGCTTTTAGGTATTTTGAAGGAGGCCTAGATCAAGAGAGTTAAGGTCACTAACAGTCACTAAGGCCAAAGGGGAACTGAGAGACCTAGAACCTTGATCAAAACTAAGGTCATGTGACTTTATAGCACTCAATAATCAGAATGAACGTGAATTATTGTGTAAGATTTGGTTACTAACAAGAGTTTACAGCTCACCATTTACAGATTTAATCAGCAAACATCTAAAAAGCTTTACTCGGTAATTTTCAAAACTGTCCAATTGACCACAGATTCAAAACAAAGAAAGTTATCAACATGACATACTTTAAGTCTGTCCCAGATAGCTTAGCTGGCAGTCTCTTGGCATTATATTAAACATCTGAAATTAAACATCTCATAGCACAGGCAAACCATAGGAATGTCATGCAAACTCCACGAGGAAGAAAGACAAAGGATCTATGCTCCATCCTACTATTTCATGCAAATAAGAGTTTTGATGCTAATACTGATCTATCCCTTCAAAAATTCACAAGCTTCCACACTCATACTTCTCTAAAAATCTCATATCCATAACAAAGTTACTTTAGTTGTCAATTTTAAAAGGAAAAAGAAGCAAATAAGAAATTGACATCAGCATCAGCACATTTTTGAAAAGTGTGAGGATCATTAGCTGTAATGTTCAAACACTATTCCATGTTTGTAACCAAAATGGATAAAAATGACCTTGTATTTTGTGCACTCAGTATTACTTCGAAATGCCAAAGTTGCCAGGACATGCTGCAATTCTTTCATATGGGTTGTTCCCCATGGGGCAAGGTATTTCCGTGCATATAAATTGCACGCTTGAAACTGTCAGCTGAATCAACTCTGACCAACTCGATGAACTCTTGCAATCTCAACTGGAATTCAATTTGCTCTGTCATC